CTCCTTCCTTATGGGCTTGGATTTTAGGCAACGCAGGGATTGGAGCTGGGTGTGCACTAAGAATAGTTAGTGCTAACCACCATACTGGTTCCCTCGTTCCATCCTGTCTCTGAGATTTTTTTTTAAGCGTAGATGGTGAGGGTAGCACTGCTGTCCTTTCTGATTATATGGTAGCTGGTTAAAGTTATTAATGTCCTATTAAAACAAACCTGCGCAGGAGGCAGAGTGGAATTTCTTAGTTGGCCACGAGGTTCCCAGAGCTGACAGAAGCTAGTTTAGCTGCCTGGAGGCAACCTTCTAACAACAGACTGGAGGGGACTAACGCTCCACAAAGTCCAAGGGGATCTCTCATGCGCTATGGATGGGCAAGCCTGTGCTGTCTGCAACATTGTGTCTTGATTGCAAAAGCCATTTTAAATTAAATGTTAAAGCTTTTGAACCAGCTAATCCTTTTACTCACTGTTCATTGCACCCTAATACACTCCTTTCAAGCTTGTAGTGTTCTGGCCCACCAGCTTTGGGAGTTCACCCATTTTCCTCAATTAGAGATATAGAGTGACAGAGGAAGAGAAAAATGTGGGGATGGAGGTTAAAAAGCTGGGTAGTTAAGGGCAGGTCAATCAGGTTGATCTTGGATGTTCTTATGAGAGGAGGTTGAGATTGTAATCATTAGAGTTAGTAGAATGAGAGGCCATCTGTCTATGTCCAATGATATGACCTAGCAACATGACTTGGGCTTTTGTGAACTCCCTCTTAGCCAGGTTTATCACCAAGTCCACCTCTTGAAGTCGATCGAATAATTATGTTAGATGTTTATGTTAAATGTTCCTTGCATGTGTGACTAAAAATCACCAGATCGTCCATGTACATCAAACAATTGGGTAATCCTGAAATGACTTTATTGGTTAGGCTTTGAACTGTGGCTCGCACATTCTTCATACCAAATGACGTGACTTTAGTGACACTAAATGGACTATACCAGTTTACAGCTGAAATTTCCTTTTGCTCTTTCAGATAAAAGTACCTGCTAGTATCCCCTGAATAAGTCCAACTAAGAAATATAAAGTTACTTGTCCCACCTTCTTAATATAGTCTTCCAAACGTGGGATATGAATTGCATTTTGTAAATGCGTTGGCTTTGCAGCAATCCACACACAATCATTGGGTACCACCTGGTTTTGGCACCATTTCTATGGGTGAGTTCCATTGACTGAAACTCACTTTTGATTATGTCATCTCTGAACATATTTTCAATTTCTTTTTGAACCTGTGCCAGTTCTGGAGGGTTAAGCCCATAAGGATGTTAACTAATTGGAACAGCATTTCCTATGGCTACATCCTGTGTAATCAGTTTAAGTTCTTCCCAGCTTATACCCACTTATGTCCCCATGCGATTGTAATAACTCTTTCAGGTCATTTTTGATTTTCCTCTGGAAGGTAACTCAATAATTTATCCCAGTTCTTGAGAACTTCCTCATTGTCCAATTTAATTTGAGGAATGTCAAATTCAGAATCATCTGGATTTGGTTCTTCACTCTGTGTTGTAACCAGTAATGCATTCTCATTTTGTTTTCCGTCTCTATCAAAATGCCGTTTGAGTATATTCACATGATACACTGAGTTTCCTTCTATATAGTGTTCATATCGAATAATTCACCTCGTTCAATATCCTTTCAATTTGATAAGGCCCACTAAACCTTGCTCTTAAAGGTTCAACTACCGCTGGTAGTAATACTTACACTTTATCTGCACTGGTGAAATGACAAGTTTTTGATCTCATGTCTGCTTCCTGTTTCATCACATGCTGTGCAACTTTTAAATGTTGTCTAGCCAACTCACCTGCTTAATTGCTGCCTAAAATTTGACAGAGTCCAAATATGTAGTTTCTGAACTCTGACTCACCAATTTCTCCTTAATTAATTTAAGTGGTCCTCTCACCTCATGCCCAAAAGCTAATTCAAATGGACTGACTTTAGTTCATTGATTAGATGCATCCCTAATTGCAAAAAAAAATGGAATTCCTTTAGCCCAATCCTCTCTATAGTCTTGACTATAGACCCTCCACATAGTCTTTAAAGTTTGATGCCACCATTCTAAAGTTCTCTGCAATTCTGGATGGCATGCAGTGGATTTGAATTGTTTTATTCCTAAGCTATCCATAAGTTCCTTGAATAACTTTGAAAAATTTGATGCTTGAGCTGATTGTATTTCTGTGGGTAGTCCATACCTAGTTTAAAAAAAAATGGAGTAACTTTTCTGCAATCCTTTTAGCCATGATACTATACAATGGATTGACATCTGGATATCTAGTAGACACATTCATTATGGTCAATAAATACTGATTCCCACTCGTTGTTTTAGGGAAGGGTCCTATGTAATCAATTAAGACTGCTGTAAAAGGTTCTTCAAACGCTGGAAAGTGTATTAAGGGTTTTATCACTGCCCAAGGTTTTCCTATTACCTGACACATATAGCATATCCAACAAAATTCAACCACATCTTTATGTAGCTCAAGCCAATAAGACTGGTTTTGTAATTTGGCTTGTTTTCCTTACTCCCAAATGATCTCCTACCCACAACACCACCTTTCTCTGCCCTAGTGGTAATACAACTTGATGAAATTCTGCCCATTTTCCATCTGCCTCAATATGTGATGGTCTCCATTTCCTCATCAAGACCTCACTTTTAAGGTAGTAACAGTCTGGGATATACATAGAAGAAGAATGAGTGTGCTTCTGACACAACTGCTTTAAATGTTTCATTTTTCTGTTGTAACTCTGCTAGCTTCTCTGAACTAAAAATATCCACTTTGTCCTCCACCTTTTCTTGTTTTCTCTCGACCATTTGATCAAACAGTTACTGATAGCTCAACTTCATTATTTTCACTCCTGATTTCTCCTCCTGCTTCAACCTGTAGTTTTGTGATCTTCTTACCATGTAGTCAGGAGAAATCTCTGGACCTGTAACACCTCAGTTATCTGATTTTCAACTACAGAAGGCATCACTCCTACCTGTGATCCAGCTATATCATTACCAAGGATAAACTATTTCCAGAACTGAGAATTTCTCCATTATTCCTACCACCACTTCACCACTTTTTACTGGACTTTCCTGCCTCACCTTATAATGGAACACTACTCTTCTCACCATGAATACCATATATTGCAATCTTTTCTGGCAATACTCCTTCTGAATTACACACATCTCCATCTCTCACCATCAAAGATTGGCATGCTGCCATATCTCTTAAAATCTTAATTTCTTTACCTATTCCTCCTGGCACTCATGAGTAAACCTTACCTACGCAGGTAAATTATTTCGAGATCTGGCACTTTCTTACTAACCAACCCTTGACCAGGCTGTATATTCTTTTGGTTCCCCTGTGTTTCCCTTTGCCACTTTAACACAACCCACTGGCTTATCCTGTTTTCCACATCCATTTGCCCAGTGCTTATTTTTAAACCCACCAACAGTACAACTTCATATGTCCTACTTTATTAAGGTGAAAACACCTGAGGTTTTTTTTAAACTTCTTTCTCTCATAGTTCACCACCGGTTTCATTTTTAACCTATCTCTACTATCCTCCAGTGAGGTTTCCTTTTCCCTTACCACCCGAGGATTTCTCTTTTTCCCAAATTCTATCCCTCACCGATTGAAATTGATGTCAAAACATTGACTTATGAACCAACTCAATCATCTGCCATTTCAGCTGCTAATCTTGCAGTTTTAACTCTCTGCTCTTCCACATGAGTTCTCACTACTTCATTTTAAGTCGACTTTCGTTTTTCAGTTCCAATTTCCGAAGTTCAAAGGTTCTCTGTCTTCCTTTCATCTGCTAGAGCTATTCTTTCTTTTTCTTTTCTCTGCTTTCAATTGTAACTCAAACTGTTTCATTTCCTTATAATATTGAAGATGTTTCATTTGCAATTGAAGTTTAGCAACTTCAGTGATTTTGATTGCATTTCTGACAGTTGCAAATGCTGGACTATTGCTCCAATCATCTTCTCTTTCCTCACAGGTACAAGCAACCTCAGCTACAGCTTGTCTGCCAATTCTGAAAGCTTTGCCTCACTCACCTTCTGTAAACCACCCCAAGTGACTTCTTCCACACCTAAGAAACTTAGCCACTGAAAGAGCCATTATTACATACGGCACACTTATTTAAACCAACTGAATGCACCACCTGAAAAGACAATGCCAACGCTCACTTATCATTGTCTTTGAGTCCAGTAATCCGAAATCCAACCTGGAATTATGAATTCTGATCCTGACGAGCCCCAATTTGTTATGGGCCAAACAAAACGCTTTCAAAACGTATCAAGAAGATAGCCTAGACTCTAACATTTATCTTATTTAAAGGCAAGTGTAAGGTGCAGCATTGCGCCATAGTTAAAATACAAACAAAAAAAATGACAAAAACTTTAACTCCATTGAAATACTTAACAAAATAATATATTGTTTAAATACCACTCATCAACTGTTCCAATATAGCAGCATCCCATAAGCACATCCCTGGCAAAGGCAAATTGAGCAAAACAAATTTCCCTCACTTGCTATCTCCTTCAGGTAGGAGAAACAGAAGGAATCTAGCAACAGAGAGAGAACTGCATCCAGTAGCTTCAAATCCAAAAACCCCAACTCAACATCTGAAATCATAAACTAAAACCCTGGGTCTCTGTGAGCCTTAATCCACCACTCACTTTTTTTTTTGTCTTACTTAAAAAATCTCAAAGCTATTTATTCTGTTTTCCACAGAGCAAAACCTCAGTAGCAGTTTTACACTATGCATCTTCAAAAGAAACAGGACAGAAAGTATCTCTTAAAGGCACCTCTTGTCACAGAGGAGAATAAATTGAAACATTTAAGTTGCTTGGGTGCTAGACAGGGTAGATGCAGAAAGGTTATTTCTCCTTGTGGAGAATGTAGGACCAGATGACATAAACTTAGAGTTAACGGATTTCCCATTTAAGACAGTGACGAGGATTATTTTTTCTTGCAGATGGAAAAGAATCTGTGGAGTTCTTAAACTGCAAATGTCTATCAAGGCTGTGTCATTAATTATATTCAAGACAGACCAATTCTTTATCGGTAAGGTAATTCAGGGTTATGGGGATAAGGTGGGAAAGCAGAGTTGAGGATTATCAGTCAATCATCATTTCCTTGAATGGCAGAGCAGACCCAATGCGCAGAAGTAGGCCATATGTCTTGAGAGGGAGGATGAGAGGAAGCCAAGGGGACCGAGGTAGGGGATTTCCTGGTTAATTGACCATCGTAATGAGAAACTGTTTCCCATAAAATATAGGCTTTTGACCCAAAATTCATGATCATGATCATGGAGTTTGAGCCTACTGGGAAAATCCACCCTTCAGTGTCTCCTGGCCATGATGACATCGCGGTCCTCCTGTTGAATACTCTCTCCCACTGACCCTCATACCATGTGCTTCTGTGTGTGTATGCCTTTGCCTTTTGCCGCCATAATCTTTGTTGTATGTAGTTTTCCATTGTCGTGTGGTTTATCCCTCAGTCACGCGACTCTCTATCTGGACCTCCAATTTCCGTATTACTATGGATTGTCATCTTAGTTTTGTGTAATTAACTCCTGAATAGAAATGAAAAAATTCTTGCTGACAGTCACATATACTTCTTTTACACTGCTAAGCAATTGTGTGAATCTAAGAAAATGCTGTGTTTCCACATCCAAGTCTTCATGGAATGGTTACCTCACAGATTATGTAAATTGAGTATGATGACCAATTTCATTTGGTGTTCAGGCAAACTTAAGTATCAAGTCTTAAGTGCAGCTTCCATAACATTGCCTGCCCTGTTCTTTCTTACCATTGACATAAAAGCCATCTCTTGTCAAACAATCCCTAATCACTTCTGTGGATTTGAAAAATCCAATGTGCTATGCTGAAATGTTGAGAGCTGTATTACAATTCCAAGAAGGCCAAGTTTTCTCTCGTTTCTGGAATCAAGGTGCTGACAGCTAATTCTCAAATATAACCTATATCTGCTGTTTTGTCTCAGGTGATGTAAGGATAATTCCGGTTTCAAAACAGCTACACAACTGCTTTTGGAACAGTCACAGTTACTCTGAAGAATACTAACACTCCTGCCACAAAACAAGGACTGTATAAGAGGAAAAAAAATGATGGATTAAAATTCCATAATTGATGCCCTTTAAGAATAGATGAGGTACACTGATGTTTTCGATGGAACAAACTTGTCAGTCACTTCAGCAATTAATGGTTCAATAATTTCCTACCATGATATCCAATTTTATAATTAAAACTCTGAATCATAAACGACTGGAGACACATATTACCTTATTACTGTGGTGTATATTTCTGCAGTGAGTGGTCAATGAAAAGTGTGAAAGCAAAAAAAAAAAATTGCTCTGTAAAACGTCCAGTTGTAATAGCGAATTTTGTTCCATGGATGCTGTGCCCTATATCTGGAGTGATTAGATATCTTTGTGTGTTAATAACACTGAAATTGCAAAGTTACACAAATAGCATGGAAAGTTGGGGCAGCATGCAATAATCAGTCAAGATAAGCATTTTTTTTATATTGCTCTTGCCACTTTGCATTAACCTAAAGAATCATGACAAAATTAAAATCAGTTTTATATGTATTTTGAAAATAGAATTTAATATTTTTTAAAATTTAATTTAAAACAGAAATAATGCCTCTTTTTGCAAAATGAGCTTTAAAGTTTAAAACTGCTGATCGACTAAAAATTAGTTGAGAATTCATAGAGACTGAGAAGGGAGAGAACAGAGACCACTGACTATATGAGGTTAGGAATCTCTCACTGCCTGACTCGGAGAATATTTAGAATCATACAGTCCAACTTGTCTGTGCCGACCAGACATCCTAAACTGAACTAGTGTGATTTTCCATTTGGCCCATATCCCTTTAAACCTTTCCTATTCATGTACCCATCCAAATGCCTTTTAAATGTTGTAATTGTACAAACCTCAACCACTTCCTCTGGCAGCTTGTTCCACACACTCACCAACCTCTGCATAAAAATGCTGCTCCCAGGTTCCTTTTTAAATCGTTCCCCTCTCACCTTAAACCTTTGCCCTCTAGTTTTGGACTCCCCACCCTGGAAAAGAGACCTTTGGCGATCTATCTCATCTATGCCCCTCGTGGTTTTATAAATCTCCATCAGGTCAACCCAAACATTCTCCAATGTTCCAGGCAAAAAAAAGGTCCCAGCCTATCCAGCCTCTCCCTATAACTTAAACTCTCCAAACCTGGCAACATCCTTGTAAGTTTTTTTTCTGATCCATTTCCATTTTAACAGCATCCTCCCTGTAGAAGTGTGACCAGAATTGTACATAATATTCTAAAAGTGCACTCTACTTGCAAGGCACTGTGTACCTACACCCCTCAGTCTCTCTGTTTAACATCATTCCCCAGGGCCCTACCATTAGCTGTGTAAGTCCTGCCCTGGTTTGTCTTGTCTTACCAAAATGCAACACTTCCTGCTTATCTGAGTTAACTCCATCTACCGCTCCTCAGCCCATTGGCCGTCTGATTAAGATATTGTACACTCAGATAACCTTTTTCACTATCCATTAAACTACCAATTTGGTGTTATGTGCAAACTTACACAACTATCCCTCCTATACTCTCGTCCGAATCATTTATATAGGTGACAAAAAACCTAGCACCGATTCTTGTGGCACACTGCTGGTCACAGGCCTCCAGCCCAAACAACCCTCTATCACCACCCTCTGACTTCTGCCATCTAGCCAATTTTGCATCCAATTGACTAGCTCTCCCTAGATCCCATGTGCTGTAACCTTATTAACCAGTCTACCTTGCGGAACCTTGTCGAATGCCTTGCTGAAGTCCATGTAAACAATGTCTACCACTGTGCCTTCATCTATCTATCTTTGAGTTTTTTTGAAGAGGTGACAATCAAGTTAGTGAGAAACTATTTTCCACGCACAAAGCCATGCTGACTATCCCTAATCAATCCTTGCCTTTTCAAATGCATGTAAATTCTGTCTGTCAGAATCCCATCCAACGGCTTACTCACCCCTTACGTCTCGCTCACTAGTCTATAGTTCCCTGACTTTTCCTTGCAGCCTTTCTTAAATAATGGCACAACATCAGTCACCCTCCAGTCTTCCGGCACCTCACCCATGCAGTCGGTAATACAAATTTCCCTGCAGCCTCTTCCTTAGCTTCCCACAGTGTTCTGGGATACACCTGATCATGTCTCGAAGATGTATCTACCTTTGTGTTTTAAGACTGCAGCACCTCCCCATCTGTAATATCGATTCTTTTCAAGACATCACTGTATATTTTCCCCAATTTCCCTAGCTTCCATTTCTTTCTCCACAGTAAATACTGACATGAAAGATTTATTTAGGATCTCACCGGTTTCCTGTGATTCCACACATAGACAGCCTTGTTGATCTTTTGAGGGGCCCTATTTTCTCTCTAGTTACTCTTTTGCTTTCAATATGCTTATAGAATCTCTTTGACAAATAAGGTTAAGGAGAATCCTAAACTATTTCATAACTCCTTTTTGCTGTCCTGATCTCCCCCTTAAGTATACTCCTGCTCCCCCATATTCCTCCAGGGATTTACTTGATCCCAGCTATCTATACCTGACATGTCTCCTCCTTTTTCTTGACCAGCCATCTGTTTACCTGCAAACAGCCTCCCTCCAATCAACTTTTGAAAGTTCCTGCCTAATGCTATCGAAACTGGCCTTGCTCCAAATTAGAAGTTTTTAGACCAAGCCTATCCTTTGCCATAACTATTTTTAAAGCTAATAGAATTATGATCCCTGGTCCCAAAGTCCTGCCTCACGAACACCTGGGGAAAAATTTAAGAAAGACCTGAGGGGCAACTTCTTCACGCGGAGAGTGGTGCGTATGTAGAATGGGCTGCTGGAGAAAGTGGTTGAGGCGGATGCAATAGCAACATTTAAAAAAACATTTGGGTAGGCACATGGATGAGAAGGGTTTAAGAGGGATATGGACCAAATGCAGGCAATTGGAACTACCTGAATGGGCACCATGGACCAGTTTGGGCCAAAGGGCTTGTTTCCATGCTGTATTACTCTATGACTTGCCCAGCCTTATTCCGAAGAGAAAGTTGAGTATTGCTTTGTAGGTACATCCACATATTGAATAAGAAACTTTTTTTGAACACTTAACAAATTCCTTCCCGTCCAAGGCCTTAACACTATGGTAGTCCCAGTCTATGCTTGGAAAGTTAAAATCCCGTTATCATTACAGCCTTAATTTTCTTACAAATATCTGAGATCACCCTACACATTTACTCATTTTCCCACTGACTATTGGGAGGCCTATAGTACAATCCCACCAAGGTGATCATCCCCTTATTTCTCAGTTCTACCCGTATAGCTTCATTGGATGATCCCCATGAATATCCTCTTCAAGTACGGGCATAATGTTGTCCCTAATCAAAAATGCCAATTCCTCTCCTCTCTTGTCTCCCTTTCTATCCTTTTCATAACATCCATACCAGGCTTGTCCCTCTCCTCAGCGTTCTTTCTGTAACAGCTATGCTATTTTTGCATCTTTATCTGTTTTTCTGTTAACAAGATGTGGCATATTAGAAAGCTGTCTGGTTAATAAAATGGGTAAATCCAACTGCAAATACATTAATACCTCTCAGGTTTTAGTCCTTGCGTTTATTTTTGCTCAGAAGTCCACAGAACAGCCTTGAAGAACAGTTCGCTGGTCCATTGAATCTGACAACACTAAACTTGTATGAACAGGAGCTGGAGTAGACCATTCAGCCGCCTTAGTCAACTCCTTCATTTTAGTATGATCGTGGCTGATCTGATTGTAACTTCAAATTCACATTGCTGCGTATCCCTGATAATCTTTCACCTCTTGCTCACCATCAATTTCACACATCTGCCTTAAAAATATGCAAATACGCTGCTTCCAACACCTTTGAAGACGCAGCAAGAAGGAAAACTTAGCCATGCGGTTTGTTGCCTTTTTGTTAAAACACAATTAATTATTGTCCTTTTTAACATTAATCAATTTCTCAGAATTTTAATACTTTAAGTTTGCTTTTATTATTTT